TGGTTTAAAATTTGGATGATATCCTCGACCTTGAAAGTGTGAAAGGCCTCAAAGGCAGGAAATTTACTTGTTCGTCAATATGTTCCTTTCTAACTCCATCTTGTACTGAGCATCGTGGCCCAGTATACTCGAGCTTCTAACGTTAAAGGTAAGTTTCAATCTTTTCATTTGATAATTTGCTGAGCAATTTTCTTATTCTTATGCTCGTTGTTTGTGTTTTTCAGACCCTCAGCATTGCTCGAGGGCTCTCGTTGCAAGGGATAGACGAATCCCACAAAATATATGGGGCTTCGAGGCTATTGAGCTTTGAGACTAGAAGCTCGTTGACGTAGAGGCATTTTGCACACTAATAAATTTAGAGAAGTTTTGTGCTAATAAACCATAGCCCCCATTAAATTTCATTACATTACATTCAATTTTTCTCTCTCCTATTTTCAACCACATAATCTTCCATAAAATAATATTTCACGCAAATTGAAAAAAATTTCTTCTTTTTCAACCACTCATTTTTCAGAAAAATACTATTCCACCCATTTTCATTACTAGAAAATGGGGGCCAAACGGGAGAAAATAATAACTACAAGAAGATCATTACATATATTTTCATTTCTTTAGCTGTTAAGCAGCTTAGCCACTATTTGAGTCTCATTAATTTTCATTCCGTATTTCATTACATTCCATTTTTCTCTTTCTTATTTTCAATCACAAAATATTTCATAAAATAATATTAAACATAAACCAAAAATTTTTCATTCTTTTTCAACCACTCATTTTTTCAAAAAAATACTATTCCATCCATTTTCATTTCCAAAAAATAGGGGCCAAACGGGGGCTAAATAATGGTATATTTTTGAAAAAATAAAATTCAACGAGATTTGAAAATAATTTTTCACGGAATTAAAGAGTTAATGTTGAACCAATAGCTACTTCAAAAAAATTGCTTTTGATAGATTCAGCACATGCGGCCAGGGGGCTCACCAGGTGCTGGATCCGCCCCTACAATCAATGTCATCATCTACCTCACCGACGAGAGCCTCCTCCATTATGTTGGCAAGGTGTTTATCATTCTTTTCTCTTTATACATAGAGTACTATACGTACTTGCTGCAAGGCTCTGAGATTTTACAATTTTTGAATTTTATTTTTCTTTTAACATATTTGGGAATAAAATTACGATTTATTGAATTTTTTCTTTGGCAATATTAGGAAAAAAAACCAGAAGCCCCTCTAAGAAGCTTTACTGAAAGTTAAAAAAAGTAGGTTTCTTCTTTCACTTTATCTTAAAGTGTGTGTGGCGTAAATAGGTATGTAAGAAAGATTATTTGCATTTTTTCTCTAATATGATGATTGATTGATCGATTATAGTACTACTTTTGCATAAAACTCCTCCATCAATTTTGAGCTTAGCATGTATAACAAGCTTCATAGTGCTTTTCTAGTTGGATGGTGTATCAAGTGCTGCTTTTGAAATTTATAAATCATCATTTGTGTGCTCCTTAACTTATTCTTTTGTAATTTATCTTAGTCTATTATTTAAAAGATGTGCAGAAATCTTATTTATGTCAATGATGCAAGAGTTTCTATTTATAAAAGTTCATTCATTTCTTGTTGTGTTGTATGATCGTCATTAGAGTAAAAAAAATAAATTATATTCGAATGGAAATTATAATTCCACCAATGAATATGAGTTATCAGTTCTTGTCTCTTCAAACACTTTATTTCCTTTTGAAAAATTTTGCAACTCCGCAAATGCAATGCCCATATAAAATAACACACAATAGTTGTTAAGCCCAGTTTGACTCTCATTTTTCTCAAATTTCATTTTCAAGAACATTCTTCCAACAAATTATTTTACACGTAAATTAAAACTTTTCGCTATTTTTAACTTCATATTTCCCTAAAAAAGAAGCACTATTTAGAGATACATTTTCCCATGAAAAAAAAAAAGTGTTAAATCTCATACTATATCCCCACCAAATCTGTATAATAAACCACTACTACTTAGAAAAGTGTAACACAAACAAATATCACTAATCAATCTTTAATAATCAATAATTTTTTTATTAAGAAAAATCGACAACCGCTAATTAGATTACTGGTGGATCCCCACGAATTCTCACATGGAGACTTCTATTTCACCAATAGAAAGAATCAGATGAAAAACAAAACTGACACCAAATATTAAATTAAATAATTAATAAATAAATAAAGATATGCAAATGATGCAACCGCCAATGGCGAGGTCACCTATAAGTAGAAAACGTTGTCGTTTTATTATCATCGTTGGCTGATTATTAGTGTACAACACTTGGATTCAATTGAAATTTCACATGCTTTCATGTGCACACAAGTGAATCAAGATTCATAAAAGGTTCTATTTACAGCTACCTTCACCAAATGATTCGTTGAAATCTTTTTTATGCTGGTAGCCACTCTTGTCTCTTGATTATTCCACTTGAAGATTGTCTATTTGTGACCGTCTTAGTATTAGACCACTAAAGATTAAATATTTATATGATTTTGTTGAAAATCAAATTTTTTGTAGATTTTGATAAAATATTTGGATGAAAATTTGTAGTTTATATAAGATATGGAATTGAAAATGAGTTTGTGAAAAAATGAAAGTCAAACATGAATTAAATATTTAATCTCGTTAGTTGAGAGCAATAAGTACACGAAAATGAAAGCAAATATGAAGCATAAGATTTATGAGTTTTGTTGTTTTACCAGGTACAAGGGCTCATAGAACCCCTACGGACCCTCATAGTAGGTAGGTCTCATGGCGGACCCACTTGTGTAAAAAATTGACCAAAAACCCATCCACACCTATCCCCACCCCCATGATGTGAGTGCTCGCTAGGGGATTCTGTGAATCCCTACTCGGTACCTCAAAAAATCCCTAAGATTTGTAGTGGTGGTATCTCAATTTGAAGATTCAAGAACCTAATTAGGTATAGCTAGCCTTTAATTACTGTTTGGTACAGATTCTCTGAAATCATTTTTTTATCATACATTTTCTCAAAAAAATATTTTTTCGTAAGGACTCATAATTTTATTTTATTTTTCGTATTTTTTAGTTATTCATTCCCAAAAGAATTATTTTTTCAAAAAATCTATTTTGAAGAAATCTACATCAATCAGACTCAAAATATCAAAATCCTACAGAATTTTTTAACAGTTGACAGTATTTAACTTTCAAAATCCATTTTTTTTTTAATTTTTAAAATCAATTTCAAAGAAACATTAAGTCCTTATGAGATGAGAATTAAGACGAGTAGTCCAAAATGTTGAATATCGTGTTTAAATTTATAAGCAATGTGAGATTTTACCCTTTGAGATTAGTTATTAAATAAATTTGTTAGATTAATGAAGAATAATATAATTATAACGTAGATTTAAAACTATGGTAAACAGGGGTACTCATGACGTTCAACATGTTTTAGCAAATGAACACTATCAAATTAATTATTATTGGACCAGCATTTTGGTTGACTTATAACTTTAAACTTAATAATCAAAGACATATAAAGAATTCTACCTAAACTTCAATTTAACAAATGGGAAATTAAAAAAGACTAGATTGCATAAATCAAATCCACTTGCTCATATTAAATATTGTTGAATTTATAGCATGAATGGGAATATACCTTATGTATACTTATTTTTCTATTGGCTAATCAGCCAAAGTGTATGATTCTATGTAATAACTAAGTGATATTCGTTGTTCATTACTAGGAAGAATAATTTATTGTTTAACTATGCATAGAACATAAATTGAAGGAAACCTCTAGAAAGTTTGATTATAGCCCCTTATGGGGTGGTCAAATTGGTGGAGTAGGTGAGCGTAAATATCTTTGGTCACAAATTCGATTTTCCAACCAACACCTTCTAGGTCAAGTCAGTCGCACATGGCTTGCCTAGTGTGGTTTACTTGACTGGCATGATTTACAGGCTATTGCATCAATCCAAAGGTTTACCCAGTGCTCATTCGAAGGATAGCGGCTGCGGGTTTCTTCGTCATAAAATAAAAATAATAAAATAAAAATGTTTGATTGTGTATTAATGAATAGTATAAATTTGAAGTCTACTAACTTTGTCTTGCCTCTCTTACAATTTAAGTTTATGATTTGATTGATTTAATTAATAATTTAAATTTTATGGAGACCTTTTGGATGCTATTTTCTCCTTTCGAAAATAAAAAAAAAAAAAAAAAAAAAAAAAAGAAAAAAATTTTTTTTTTTTTTTTTTTTTTTTTTTCCCTTTTCTTTTTGAAAAAAAT